CACGTCAGGAGATGGGGACAGGCCGAAAACACGAGTCAGGGGCTAAAACGTTCTCGCGCGTCAGCGGGATTAAAATCCAGAGTTCAGAAACGGGGCTTGATGGGTGACACTTGGCATCCGAAAGCAGCCGGCAGCTTTTTCTGATCGCGCATGCCTGCCGCGAGGGAAACTGGTCATCACGGGCGAAAATACAAGCTGTTTAAAGTAAATGGTAAAAAGTTTGCCAGGCTATAGCTGCAGTAATTTGCTTCCCACTTTGCTCAGCGCAAGATGCAAGAAGATAAACGCATTGTATACTTGGCTAGTTTGAACTTGTGATATTTTAAATATTTTATGCGCTTGTATGCATGTTTGGTAATAACTGGTAAGGAATCAATACATCTTTGTTGTTGAATTCAACTTTGCAAAATTTTCTCTTTAGCAAAACTAACACAATATGCAAGAAATGTGCCCAAAACGTGAAGCAGTTTGGAACGGTGAGTTGGCAGTTTATTCTCAAAAAGGCATGCGAGAGTCCCATTATCCAGCCAAATACAATAAATGTGCAAGGGACAGCCTGTGTCTTGATATTATGATGCACAGTTGAATATTTTAGTTCAGGGTCTAAAATAGTTTCAGTTGTAAATGCACTTTTTGCGCATAAAACTTTGTGGAAAATGAGTCTTTTGGGATGAAGCTTTCTATTCAGGAGAAATCTTGTGAAAAGTTATACTTTCAACAGCTGAGTACTTTTGCTATTTTTAAAATAGGCACACTTTTCCCCTGCAGGATTTTCAAGAGTTGAAATGTGCAGTCAAGTTCAGTAGTTACAAATAATTAAGTAGATGCCTTGAATGTATACACTTGCACATGCATCATTTTTTCCAAGCTTTTGAACAGAAATGCTTATATCTAGGGGCTGCTGTTGCTGTCCCTTGTCTTCAATATCTGATTAATGAGAAAATCTGATCGTGGAGCAGGGTTAGTATATAACACCCATTAATGTTTCTTAAATGAAGGTGACCACACTAGGGTTATTAAAAAAAAAATGTGGCTTAAATTAATTTTAATTTGCATTTCCTTACCTTTAATTGCCACTTAGATCTGTGTTAAAGAAGTTGTGCATATAATGGGTAATTCTTTGTTCTGATATACTATTTTTGTCAGAGTGCAATGTAGACATTGTGGGGAGGCAGCTGAGATTCACTATAATAAAAAGCATTTCTTTTGTGAAACAAGTGCTTAGATCCTATAAACTGTGCAACTAGAGTCGTACTTTGTAGATAAGATACAACTTAATGGACAAGTTAAATATAAAAGCTCTCATCATGTAATCTGCTTAATACTTTGTAAATTGAAACAGGATGTCCTTTGAAAGTCCTAAGGGATTGTAAACCAAGTATAATACAGATGTGCCAACACCTGTAGCAACATTTTATTAAAAGCGGAACTTGTTTCAAAGCAAACTGAACTTTAATGGCATTTTTAGAAACTGGGAATTTTAGTTCCCAGTTCCATATGTTTATCAGCTTTATTTTGTGATGTAGATTAAAATCAATTGACCTTCAATTATCAGAAGAGTTATTTTGTTCCCCAAGGGATTGTAGGTCTTAACCTGGAAACACGTGCCTGCAGCAGTCAACCCCCTGCATATTTGAAGGGCTTGGGATGTTCTCAAAACCAGTCAGAAAAATATTAATTTGACCATTTACCTTTTGTGAGGCAGAGATATTTTTCTGGTATCTTACGCTGCATCACCTATATGCTTGAGAGAGTTATTGGACAAGCTGTCAGGTATCAGGTGTCTTTCCTTAGGTCTCCTCAGATCTTTTGGGGTGGGGGAGGTTCTTATTTCTTGGTAATGTAAAAAGTTTGATTTGGTACTTAGAGAAGAAGAAGCTGTCATCCAAAATTGGGCATTTCTTTCATAGAACATGTACACAAGTGTTTATTTTTCCCCACTTTGGCTGGCATCTTTTAATGGAAAAAAAGTGTAGAGAAAATGGATTGTAATGCTAGTTGGAATGCTTCATATTTAAAGCAGGATCCCTGAAATATTTATTAGCTTAGAAACACCATTTTATTTTTTAAAATACTAACATTAATTTAGTATGGTGGGAGTGTTGTAGTCATGATGGTCCAGGGAAAGTACAAGAGGCAAGGGTCTTTTTGTGATATCTTCTGTTGGGCCAACTGTGTAGTTTCTTGGAAGAATTTTATTATACTGATCTTAATTCTGCTTCTCTGTTATTTTTCAGCCGAAGCCTTGTCAGTACTGTAATATTATTGCAGCATTTATTGGCACAAAATGTCAACGTTGCACAAACTCAGAAAAGAAATATGGACCACCTCAGACATGCGAACAGTGCAAGCAGCAATGTGCTTTTGATCGAAAAGAGGAGGGAAGAAGGAAGGTATGCATTGTCCTTATTGAACTGTAACAGTTTAACATGAAAACAAAAGGTATGACTGAAAATCTTCTCTCTTTAAAAGTAACGGTGAATTTCACTAACATCAAAAAGTTGTAAAGAGCATTGCATTTACTTTTCCAATGTAAGGACCTTTCATGAAACTTTGAATTAAATATGTGATCCATGAAGACTGGATACCAGCTCCTCTGCTGACCAACCTGCTCTTAAAGAATCTATTTTTTTTTAAATTTTTTTAATGCCAACTCTAAAATATAATCTAACCTTGACAGGTGTATAGGAACAAAGTTAATGCAATGGAATAGTGCGAGTGTTTTGTTTTTTTTCCCCCTACTTCCCACAGCCTTGAATACTTCATTTCTGTAACTTGAATTTCTTATTTCCACCTTTTCCTATCAACCTTCAAGACTTCCTTTTAACCTTTCCTATGGCTCTGAGTAGACCTGTCCATTTTAACTTCTCAGAAGTGCATAGACATGGCTAGCCAAGTTAGTATGGAGTTAGGCAGGAGATAGGGCAATGTAGAATCTTAAAACAGATTGGTTCAGAGAGGCATATGAACTTTTGTGAGCAACAGCCTGTTCCATCAGATGCTAGGAATGGACTGGCAGAAAGACAAGATTATATATAGAAGGAAAAGAAACAGGAGGGTGGGGAAGGCTGCTAAGAGAAGTAATAAGTGGGTTGATTAGATCAGTTGAGATGAACAAAGCAGTTAACTCTGGTGTTCCTCCAAGTGTTAAGTTAGCCCAAGTAATAAGATGTTAATACGTAGTCCCTATTCATCTGCCTTGTGCCTCTTGTGTCAATCTAGTCACACAGGTGTCTTTTTATTAGTGATAACCCTTTTTGTTTCAGGTTGAAAACAACACTGCCATCAAAGACATTTTTCCTTATTTACTATAGAGGACTGGACCAGGTTCATATAGCATTTCTTATTCTGCTTTGGGTTAAAAAAGCTTCCATGGCCACATGAGACCTAAGCTAAAAGTGACTGCTTCAGAGCAAAATTTTCCAGTTCTTGGAATATGTAGTATGTGTCTATATTTGGTAGAACCAATTCGCAGTGTAACGTACAATGTCGAGAAAAAGCAGAGTAAACATCCTGTACATTAAAGAGTGAACTTCATATACCAGAATCACAATGATTTCTCTTGAATATTGAACTTATCTTTCTAATACCTAGTGCATGATTACTTAACTGCAATTTTTTTTCCCCAAAAAGGTTGATGGAAAGTTGTTATGTTGGCTCTGCACACTGTCCTACAAGAGAGTTCTACAGAAGACAAAGGAACAGAGAAAGAGTCTAGGGTCTTCACATTCTAATTCATCATCCTCATCTCTGACTGAGAAAGATCAGCATCATTCAAAACACCATCACCACCATCATCACCGTCACAGCAGCAGCCATCACAAGTAAGTATTCTAATTAGAGGTAAAGTGTAACTGTTAACGGGGGGTGGGGAGGCACAACTCCGTGCCACTGGTGCTGTCCCCACTGCTCCTGGGTGCTGACTGTGACTGGGTTGCAGCCCTGTGGTCAGTGCAGAAATTGTACCACCCCGCTGCCCCTACTGTGGCCGGGCCCTGACTCCGGCTCGACTGCAGCCCTGCGCCCCACCGTTTGCGCGGTAATCTCGGGAGGGCATGTGCCCCCTCCCCGCTCACCCGTGGCCCCCCCCACCCAACATGTCACCGATGATTCTGATTCTCTAAAAGGTTCTTACTTGATGGGATAAGTAGTGAGGTCATATTTCAGGAAATTTTAAACATCACTTAACAGCAACTTTCAATTACTGAATTGAAAGTGGAAATCAAATATTTTGGCGTGAGGGGGACACGCCACAGACGGGCCTGCAGTGCTACATACCACACAGTCGCACTCGTCTGGACATGATCTTTGAATCTCCATGTTCCCATCATTTGAAGAGATGAGAAATAATTCAGTAAAAAGCAGATCCTGTTTGTAGCCTAATTACCAGGTAATAATGTAACTGCCTGTAGATCTAGAAGAGTAATTTAGTTAAATGCTAATGAAAATACTTTTCTTAGGAACACTTTACTTCTGTTTTGTTCCTTCAATTTAGGAAGAGTTCTTCTCCAGTCAATGTAGTACATGTGAGTCTTGTTGATAGTTTATGAGGTGCTGTCCAATCAGCAACAAGGCAGTGCTATTGTAAGTTAGGCTTTTGATGGTTATCTGGCCATTCTTACAATACTTTTCGCTATTTTAATTTATTCCTGCAACATTTCTGAATATTTGCATCGATCTTGCTGTGGTTTAAATAGCATACTAATTTTTTAATTGTCTTTTTACAGCCATAGGTACATCCTAGTTAGCCTTAAATGGCTGGTTCTCTGAGTATCTTGCTTTTGTTTTTTACTACCATATTAAAAGTACACTGTGGTATGAATCATCATAACTACAGATAACACTTTAGTTTAAATTCAGAGCTTTTTATAATTCCTTTC